CATGCACGAGGCACATTGCATGCAAGCACTCCTTCCCCTTTTCCTATGACTAGTCCCAGCCCCCTTAGCAACCCCGTTGTCATGGTGACAATCCCCCCCCTCCTTCCCTGCCCACCTCGACAGACCATAATACTCAAGCAGTACCAGCATGCATCCCATAATATACAACTCCAAAAAAGACGTAAAAAAAAAACACTCTCACACACACACACACACACACACACACACACACACACACACTCACACACACACACCAGTCACATGGTCTCCAGGGGAGCTCAAGTCCACTAGTGACAGACCATAATACTCACTGAGCATCCACCTGGGAGTGCCAAGAAGTCAAAGAGCTTCACTTTGGTTGCTCCAAAACACAGGAAGCCTGCAGGGAGCAGAACTGGATCAAATACTTTGATGATGCCTTCAATTTTTCTCGAGGCCTTCTGATGTTATTAAAAACTGAACCACATCATGAGGATTTCACTTTATCGACAAGTCCTTTGAATGCACCGCACGCCCACAGGTGGGACCGTCCACCACAGAAATGAGTGGCAGGTGTACATCATATAGTATCTGGATGTACTGTGCAGGTCAATGGGGAGGACATTCATTCATAAAACACAACAAATGCTGTATTCAAGTTCAGTTTGATGTAAAGGAGATTTGAGGAGTTGCTGCACATTGGAGGCATTTTGAAAAAGCAAAATATATGAATGTAAGAGTTTTAATCAGAATGAGAAATCCTTTATTTGTCGTACAGCGAGGTAACTTCCAGCATAACAACAACAAAGAGATGAGACTAACACATTAAATAAAGAGGCTAAACACGCCTTAATCAAATATGGTTTACATAATACCAGTGTATTGATGTGCCGTGGTGGGATGCACGTCAAAGGTGAGTTAATCCATTCATAAAACGCACAAAATGCTGCATTCAACTTCAGTTTGTAAGAATATTTGAGGTGGTGCACATTTGAGACACACTAACACAGTACATTAAATATGACTGTGCAATAAATGGGCTATTATCTTCATAATCCCAGTGTCTTAATCTGCAAATGGTGAGTAAATTCATTCATAAAACCACAAAAACATGTTGCCTTCATGTTCAGTTTGTTTGAATACGATTTGAGATGCTGCACATTGGAGACGTATTAAATAAAGAGGCAAACACACTCGTAAAATAAAATAAAATATGTGTGTGGGTCCAGAAGACAGATGGCAGACAGGTTTACAATTTACCAGCACCCTGATCTGCTGTGGGGGTCGAATGCAGGTCAAAGGTGAGTAAATTCATCCATAAAACACACAAAATGTGGCCTTCAAGTTCAGTATGCATGAATAGGATGTGTGAGATGTTACATTCACTCTTGCACTATTTCTATTCGATTTGTATTTACTTGCACTATTGTATCTTTTTTATTGTGTTGCACTGTTGGAGGAGCCTGTGATCTAAGATTTTCATTAACATTTCTACACTGTAGCTATGTACACATGAGAACCGCAGTGACGCGGCCTAAAACCCGGAAGTAAGTTAGCATTTTTACCACTTCCGGTTCCTTCGAAAAAAAGCAATGCAATTTCTCCATTTGATTTTGGAAAATAGCTCGAAATAAGGTCTGTGTTTGGCACAAATTGAAGAGACAGATCACGTTTTGTTCTACGACATTAAATACATCAGCAGTGACCCCACTGGAAGTGATGGCGGGATGAAGCCTTATGAGGCTTCGAAGCTTTCCAGCCAATTGGTTCGCAAAAGGGTTCATCTCATGAGGCTTCATCATGGGCTTCATTTGAACACAAACCCCCCCTGTTGGTCAAAGGGTGTAAAAAAATATGTTGACATCTCAACAGTGTGCTCTATCCTTATACAGTCTATGGCTCTATCTCATACCGAGTTCCCAATGAGTAAAGCCTTAGAATAACTCTAAACAACGAACATTAAATCATATTTTCATGTTAACAATATTGTTTTTATTCCAGTTGAATGATTGTGATTGAAAAGCCTAAGGAGGCTGGTAAACATTGCAAAGAGGGATTTGTATTCCTTAATAATATTCATAAACTTAACCATGTTGTAGCCTGAGAAAGGCTAAACCATATCAACGAATACATTTATTAACTACATTATCTCATTTAGCTGTAGCTTTTATAAACAAACAAAAAATACGTATTGTTCAGTTGTTGAACCGCGGACCCTGCGTTCGTGAGTCAACTGCTTTCCAGCTGAGCCACAGCACACACACTGAATCTCACTGAAAACACTGCAGCATATTTATTCCTGTATTTGTTCATGTTTTTATTCCTACATTTATGTATGCTTGTATCTATTTATACTTATGACATGTTCCGACCTCTAGATATATAAGTGAGGGTCTGAGCTCTTTTAATTCCATCGTGTCACCTGGCCCGGGTACAGGAGGGGTAATATGGTTCTTATTATACATCCATGGGTATTATGAACGTTGTGGTTCAACGGTTCAAACGATCTGAATCGCTTCCT